TTGTGCTCCAATTACTACACCGTTACTACATTCAATCGCCTTTCAATTTGTTCTTTATTGTTTAAAAAAATATACTATTTCATTTTATTTTTTATTTTATAATTCAAAAGGAACAGTACTAAATGATTCTCTCTCTGAAAGAAAAGATTTACATATCAAAGATTAATGAACAAACAAAGGAAACTAATAAAATTAAAATGATCCGTAAGCCAATAATTAATGTAAAATCGACCGTGTAAAATTCCAATATAAAAGTATGGAATCGTCCGTGACTATTATCAATATCGATTCTTCTTCGACATTCGCGTGGAACTGAAAAGTTCATTATTCGTGTTTTCAATCCCTGCACACAAAATGTGAGCAAGTATTGTATCGTATGTGTGGCGTTGAGCAGTGAGTGAGTGATGCGTGTCTAGTCGATCGATCGGCCAAATGCTGCCGAGAGTGAGGAAAAATCGTGAGATCGTGTGCGTGTCTGTTTGCGCACGTGTTCACAGTATATACATATGTGTGAGAGAGAGATATATATATATATGTGTGTGTGTATGCGACGTATATGACGTGTACATGTGCACGTGTGTATGTTAGTAAGGTAGAAGAGTCGGATGTGAGATAGAGAGAGCGGTATTACTTAGCGTGACGTAACGTCTTACTTCTTTTTTCTTTTTCTTCCGTCCATAACCTCCCTGAAATTGGAGAAATGGAGAAACAGTCGTTACACACAGAGATACAGAGAATACGGGGGATATCGGTGAATGAATAGAGTAGAAAAAAAAAAATAATATGCCAATATATGCTATAACAAGGGAGATTGCGATAAGATGGCTCAGTCCGTAGCTTTTGGAAGAGTAAGAGCTGAATCGGGCGACTTTAGAAAAGAAAAACAGAAAAAGAGAGAAAGAGAGAGAGAGGGACTAAAGGGAATAGATAGATGGCAACAAAGGGAGGAGAAAAAACACAATGTTACATCACGACATTGAAACGTACGACAGGAAAATACACGGGAATAAGGGAATTCTGGAAAGAGGGCTTCCAAGCACATCAAGCTTGATCGGGGCTGGATTAATCGTTGGGAAAACCTGTGTCATTATCAACTTTTATTTTAAGTTATTATTTTTAAAAAATTTTGTTACGAAACATGTCCTTTAAACCTGTTTGATTAAATAAAGTAGCTTCTGCCACAATTAATAAAGGAACGAAATAATTTTATTCATCTAAATCAGCCAGTTAATTCACAAACTTCTCGTGATATATTTTTAAAAAATGCAAAAATAGTAAGCGGATACATTCTTAGATGTTAAGATTCATTACAGAAAAAGAAAGAGAGACGATCGATGATAATCCAGTCTTGATCTCGCTTCTCTCTCGTTCTCTCCTTGACCTTTCATCGCTGGAGTATAATACAAGGAGGCAATAAAAGGAGAAGATTTGCTCCTCTTGCGAAAGTAATTTTCAAACAGCGCGATCAATGTTGAACGATAGACGTGGAGGAGGACGAAGGTTAATAAATAAATCCGCTCCTTTTATCGGTGTTGCTGATATAGCCCTGAGGCAAATTAGGAGCGCTAATTATAAGGATGTAAGGGACTCATTCGTTGAATTTACATTAATACGCTCCACCGCGATAATCATCTCCCATCGCGTGGCACTCGCGCGTTGTTCATTAACGCGAATGCGACGAAGAGAGAGAGAGAGAGAGAGAGAGAGAGAGAGAGAGAGAGAGAGAGAGAGAGGGAGGGAGAGAGAGAGAGGGGGGGGAAGGAAGTGGAGATAGCCACGACATATGAGCGATATATTCACGCACATAAAAAATATGTATATGTATATATATTTATATATATATGTAGGTATTTATGTATAAGTAGGCACAAAGAGATAAGTGGCACTGCAGACATCGAGCTTCGTACGTGACATATCTTTCGTAACACACACAATACATTACTCGACGACAGATATATATGTATAAACAAATGGGGGGGGGAGGGGCGGTTAAATAGTCGTCGGTAAAGAGATAGTTACATCCTCACTACGTTAGCGATAGATAGATCAAGCAAACAATCAAAGGGACAGTCGAATGGGTAAGGGGAACAAATGAATTCTGTTGCAATTTGACATATGTAAGAAAAGAATGAACAAGAAGGGGTTTCGCAAACGGCGCTACAGCTAGGCATAGGAAGGTTAACGATAAAGCGGTATTTGCAATGAGATTTTAAGGGGCAAGTCTTAAACTTTAATCCTTAGGCCGTATATAAGAAGTTGATTAATCATAATCGAATGTGAGGAGAATAATCGACTATGATTGGTCAATTTCTTACGGTTTAAGGCTTAAGGCTTGAATTTTACGCCTTAAAATCTCAATCTTGTAAACGCCGCTTAAGGCAGCTCATACTTAAGATTAATCAATTGAAAAAAAATTGCACTTTAACATTAAATATCAAAGAGCGTATCTCTTAGAAAATAAATATATTTAAGTTGAATATTGCAATCTAAAATTTTTTAAACATTGATGTGAACCTCTATCTGAAATTTCCATTGTTTGTTTATTCAAATTGATTTACTTTTATATCAAATGCATTGGATAAGTGCAGTATTATCATACAACTCCTGATGTATTTAAAAAAATATTATCCACTTCATATTCTATTTATTCTCAATTTATTTCGTTTGAATACGTATTTATTTTATTAGTTAAACATTTTTATTATTTTTTTAATTATTATTTTTGCTAAAACGTAAAAAAAATGTTAATAAAGATATTTTATAAGAATAAATGACAAAATCTTAAGTATGAGTAGCATTCAATGCAAAACTTTTATTTAGCACATTTATACAAACGCCTGTGGGCGCATTGAATGGTTGTAGTAATACATATTGGTATCAAAGAACCGAATTTTTGATAGCTCTAAGATGATCTGTTGTGCAATAGGATTTTCAAATTAAACGAATGTTATATCTTTTTCGTAAAGACTTGTAAACTTTTATTGTTACATTGCTCGTCTCGTAATGAATAGATAATGTACACATGAATATATATAAAGAGGACAGTAATTACACAGGAAAATTAATTGATCGCACAATCGAGTCTGTTAGGAAAATTAGCAGCGTCAGATAAATATACTCGCTAGCGTTAATCAATATATGACTAACTGAAAAATTATACAACAACAAACTCGAAATAGCGATACGAGTTTGGAGAACAGTAAGCGTATGTATGTACAACGAACATTTACGCAAAAGCATATTTTTTTCGAATTACCAATATGATCTTTTTACAGTTCAAACAATATCTCTTCGAGAGTTCCGTGAAATAAGGATCGAAATACCTGAACGCGATCGTCATGAAACGACCGCGTAATTTATTTGGCGCTACTTAAGGGGTTCTCCTACGATATACGCACATGACGAATTATGTGTCGATGTAGTTAATGCGCGAAGAAAAATTAGAAATGCGCGATCGTGCGACGAGCGCATACGGCCGCGTTCATACCTCGCCTTCCGCTCTTCTCTGCTGAAGCTCTTTCTGCCTGGCCTCTTCCTCGGCAATGCGAGCCCCGATCGCTGCCAGGGACTCCCGCGTGAACGGACGGAACAAACTTCTTTCTTCCTCTGATATAGAGTCAGAATCTTCGGACATTGTCTAGGCTGCGCACAGCTGAGCCACCTTCCTGCGATCAGCGAAAAACGTAACATGAGAATAATAAGTGAGAGAAAATGGATAGGAAAATACTTGAAAGAAGAATGAAAGAGATATTAACGCAAACAAACGATAAAAGAGGTTCTTGATAATATTGTATTTTACTGAATTTTACAATTCAGAAAAAAATACCAATAGCAACAATCTTTAAATCAAGATTGTTAAACACAAATGAAGAAGGTTATATTCGATCAAAGCGAGTCTTGATGCCTAATAATATTTTATGTAAATTTTACAATGCCTGGTAATATTTTGTATGAATTTCCTATTTCAAGCAAACTACAATGCCAATTATTTATCGTTCTTGAAATACAGATTTAAACTGGAGTTGGAGTACTCAACATCACAAATTAAATTGACAAGCAATATAATATTACTGATGCTATTCTTTAATCGCCAACAATATAGGATCTTTAAAGACAGTGAATTATAATGAATTAAATCTATAAGAAAAAAAATAAGTAAAATGCAAATCGACTTTTATCGAAACTATTGAATAATTATGAAGAAAAAATGAAGTCAAATTGAAGAAACTGAATATATGAAACACGAAGAATTATGTGAAAAAAAATGTACTAAATTTTAATAAATATTTATTTCGATATAGTACTAACTAAATATTTATTAAATGTAAACATATATTTATCTGGTGTATCCAATAATTTGATTTAGGTATTTCTTTTTTCTTTTTTTTTTTAGTAAATACTCATTCACTGTGAGTAAACGTGTAATTAGTACTATTGAGAAAAATATTTGTTAAAAATTTAGTAAATTTATTTTCAATACGAAGATGCCAAAAGTCGAGTACGATCCATCGATGGACTGGACTCACTTTTGATCGGTGCTAACAGTTCCTGAAGTGTAGTGTGCGCGTATCCCACGACGCGGGGGGGTAGTAAAGTTGCTGCTGCGGCTGACGAGGACGACGGGTCCGGTGCTGAAAGCGGCGTGACTTGCCGGCTACCGGCCGATTCCTGGGCGTCGTCGATTCCGGGCGCGTCGTGCCGACGATGCGGTCACACGACGCCGTTACGTACGGTCGGACGGATAAGGGCGCTCCGTGCAGCACGTCGATTGCCGATCTGCCGCTACTCTTGCTCTCCCTCTTCTTGTCGATCGCCGTCACGCGAGTACTGCTGCTGCTAATGCCGTCGCTGATGCTACCGCTACTTCTAGTTTTGTTCCTGTTACGGATGCTGCTCTTGCTGCTGCTGCTGCTGCTGCTGCTGCCGCTGCTGCTGCCGCTGCTGCTGCTGCTGCTGCTGCTGCCGCCGCCGCTGCTGCTGCTGCTGCTGCTGCCGCTGCTGCCGCTGCTGCTGCTGCTGCTGCTGCTGCTGCCGCTGCTGCTGCTGCTGCTGCTACTACCTGAATCTCGTTCCAACGAAATGGCGACGAGAAATGACGAACGCGCTGCGGCAGTGCGTGCTATGTCGGGGACCGTCCAACGCGAACCAAGATTTTTCATGTCCGACCTAAGAGGAGTCGAGCAAGTGCTGCGTTGCGATAAGACCGAAGATATCGTAATCCCGATGTTGTCAGGAGAGTACAAATGTAACAAATAACTAGCTGGTTTCGTGGAATGACATTATGCCGCTGTGTTTTCGACATTTTCCATAGTACAAAGTTGCAAAAGTTCAATGGCGGTAGATACAATTTTAAGCATAAGGTCATATATCCAATCTGACGTAAGTCTTAATTATAGAACGTGATTAGCGTATTTCTCTGAATATTGCGAGGCCTCGTGGAAGTCGTTAGTGAGTAATGTCACCGAATAAACGAGCTACTCCTGCAAATGGGATACCACTCCTTCGAAAAATGCATACTCACGTGTAAATGAAGCGACGGGTGCGATCAATCCGTTATCCGAAATAACATAGTCTAATCTTCGAGTCGGTCGATTTTTATCTGCAACAAAAACAAAGAAACCAGATAAGTGCGCCGAATCCTCTTCCTCTAATTAATATAAAAAAATCTGGAATTTATATAGCCGCGAAATCTGCATAATTATTTTCACGCATAACATACAATTTTATAAAATTATGTGATGGAGAATATTCTTATCGTATGGATACGAGTACGCTATTACAATTTAAAAATGTATTGCACACATATTTTTCACAAAATGGAACGATTATAAGAAAAAATTAGAGATTTTTTTATTATATATTTGAAAATAAAGCAAAAAGTCTGGCGAATTAGGACCTAGACGAAAAATTATTTCAATCAGTAGACATATTTTTTTAATATAACTGAGATAAAATGAAAAATTTTCATTTAAATTATAAAATTGTATCGTTAAATATATAAATATCGATCTGATCTTGAACTGTTTCGTATGTATATAATATTCACTTTTATAAAAGTATAAATTTAAAATTTCTATCATTTTTTCCAGAGCCTATACACCTGATTACATTCTTAACAGAGTTATTTGTAATACTAATCTCTCACTTGTAATACTAATGACAACATTTGATATTCACGTTTACGTGAACGAGATCCTTCCTTTGCGCTAAGATCGTATTTCTGCCGCAGAGAGAGTTAACCTTCCAGTAAGGAGAAACCGGGAGAGAGAAATTTGGATCAATCTCTTGAGATCGGTTTTCGCGATTAGGGCGCGAATCGCCGAAGATAAATACGTGCAGTGATAAACGATCGCGTTTGCGGACGTCCGCGCGCTCGCGGATGGGAAGGGAATTTCGCGCAGATCGTGCCGGCACCCTTACACGGGCACGGGCAGAGAGTCGCGGAAAGGTGTCGGTGGTCTTTGACCGAGTTTCGCGCGGTCGATCATATTCCGCCGAAACTCGGTCACATGCGCTTATGCATCGGCGGCAGCGGCGCGGCACCGAGCGCCTGGCCTGGCGATACGCAACGTAAGGAAAAGTAAGAGTGAAGGGCTGTTGTTCGCCAGGGAAACACGCACATGCAGAGGGTCGGCCGGTACTATATACAGGAACGTCGGAGTTCGACACGCGGAAGTGTTCTCTCCAATATTTATTGGGTATGGCCGTCCTATTCTTCCCGTTGGCTCTCGGCTTTCAAAGTTTTGATTTATTAGAAAGATAATTATTATTCCGAAGGAGGAAAATAACAGGTATAATTTATCCAGATGCTCAATCTTAAAGTTAATTATTTTTACATTCCTTTATCTCGTAAAGGTGTAATTAATGTAAAATTAATATGCTAGTATGAAAAAAATATGGTTACAAAATTAAACTCTTTCTAGGTTTTATGACCAGCCTGCTTACCAACTTGCGTATAAACCACCTGTTTACTTAAAAGTTAATTTACGTTGATTAAAAGGCATTAATTAATTTCGAAGAATTAAAATGACGTAACTTGTATGAAAAAGAGTGAATACTAATTGTAAATATGTCTTAATAAGAACATTTGAAACTTTCTTGTAGATATAGTATTTAAAAAATTGAATTATTTGATATTTTTGACAAAGAGGCTTGTAATTGAATTGATCCAATAGTTTTGGAGGATTAAAATTGGAATCCAAATTTTTAGTAATCTGTTTCTACATCATACAAATTTTATTATACAAATTTCAAGATTGCTAAGAGAATATGATATGTTATGAATATTTATGATGTGTAAACATTATCTTGTAATAATTGTTTGTAACATATTTTTTAACGAGTCTTTATTAAAGAAGAAATTGTGGTTATTCATAAAGAGAATTCGTTAAATTCGTTCTTTCACGAGGCTTACAATACTAATCCCCATTGTTATGTGTATTTCCTATTTGCTATGTAGAACGTTTTCGTTGCACGGTTCGACCTACTTAAGTGCAACCCTTACATTTTAAATGCCAATATAGACAGTAATACAGATATATATATATGCCGATGAATATTGCATAACTGATCATCGAAATAAGTTGAATGGATTAAATAGATGTATGGATCTCGATTCTTACTCGTACATTACAATTTTCAAGTAAAATGTGAATACATATTATTAAATTGCTTCTGTAAATTTTGTTTGGAGGATTTAATAGCAAAGTTTCGCAACTCGGTACGATTTTAACTTGCTAGTTAATCCAATTATCGTACTAATTGCGAAAGTGAATATAAATCAAAAGATATTTTCTATTTATCTCATTAAATTAACGTCACATTTGACTATCTTAGCTAATGATATCGTGTTATCAGATAAAATAAATCACAGCAATGGAACAAGCCTTGTTTTTATCTATACAATAAAAAAAAATGACAGAGTCGTCGGTTGTCGCCTAGTACATCTTTCGCATTCCGGTATTCTCGGTACTAATTACACATTTATACGTACGCAGCAGTAAGAGCAATTACGTTACTTTTAATATGAGTATATCGTGCTTTATATTGTATTCAGTTATCCTCTGGTTTTTCTGTTTACGAAGGAAATCGATGGTTTATAACTTTGCGAGATGGCCAACGCGCAAATCGCGTGTCTCGAATCATTTAATGCATATTTTTTTAACCACGTTTAGCTCATAATGTGAAATTTGCGCGGTCGCGTTCGAGATATATATGATTTTATTCGCTCATTACGAAATTCCACGAAATATTTGAAAACATAACAGCGCGTAATCATTTTCATTTGCTTGTATTTTAATCATAGTGGCCATTTGTAATATTACAAAAGCACAAAATATATCGAAAAAGACAAGAACGCTGCGCAAATACACGCATGAAATGGTAATCAAATTTTCCTGTTATTTCTAAGGAAATAACGAATAAAATAATGAATTATTACAATTTTTTTCTGCTTTATTAATATTTCATCAAATAAAGCGTACGGTTGAGCTTTTTATAATTATTTTACAAAAGCATCGAAATCTACATACTTTATGTTCACAAAAGGATCAATTTGATCGAGAGGAGATTATTGAATCAATGTTACTTTGATATTAATTCGACTTATGGCCTTTCGCTCACATTCTCACAGTAGGTTACGGGATAATGGCGAAGATCTTCTAATTATTAAGTAGTATTATAAAACCGCGAAATTAATTAGCCAATACAGTATGTACCGAATGTGAGCTTGAACGGAGGTTGTATTTCATGGATATAGAAATGCAATAAAAAGCGGCGCTCTGCCAGCGTGCGAAGCAAGAAGAAACGAGGTCAACTATATCTGCGACAAATCGGCCTTCATCGAGAAATTATACGCGGTAACTGAAACGGGCGGCTACACCGAGGCTCTTAACGAGTAATATTTCTGAAAGAAATTACTGTTTCCCGATTCCCTTTCTGACCCTTCCTATTTGCTATCCAAAGCGCAAAGCGCAAATATACTCTTCACTTCATTTTACATTTGTAACCAATTGACCTCTCGATTTATTCAAAGTAACGCTTCTACGAAAATTGTCTACTTTTTTTGCATTTATTTTTTGCATTTAGTAAAAAAAACACAACCAAAAGAGAACCTTAAATGTGATCAGAATTATGTAAAGCCATGGGAAAAATATCAAATTCAAGAAGAGGAAATATATAAGATTCAAGAATTAACATAAAATATTAACTGCAAAAGTAAGACACGCGCAGAGTATGAAATATGAAGGAGGAGGAAATATTGCAAGAACTTTAATATAAGAAGATAAAAGGGATGTCGAGTGAAATATATTTCAATACAGCAGTTCATGCAAATTAAGGATCTGTCCACTAAAAAAATGTGCGATGTCAGTTTTATTTCGTGATTCATTACTGAGAAATCCAAGATTATTATGCATAAATATCTCGGGCAAATTTGGTTAGCGGTCGTTGAAGATTTGCGGAATTCGATTTATGATCATAAATGAAATTAATGTCGGACACAAGAACGTTATACCGAAGCACTTTTCAGTGCGTCGTTCGCCTGGATCGTGGATCAATAAATAGCTACAGTGAATACATCCGCGGCGTTAGTCGTACAAAACGATGCGCGATCCATTTCAATTCCGACATACACACGGAAATGAGACACGGTTCGGCGCAGACGAGTCAATTATCGGCGATGCAATCCTTGACGTTTCTTCTAATAACAATTTCGGCTTCGGCATATTTTCAATAAATTAATATACACGTTATTATCGCACAGCGTATGACATTACTGAGTATTCTCGGTATGTAATCAGAAAAAAAGTGGCGAAAAATATGTACAGAAAGATTTCATATAATCAATTTTATATACAACCGTCAAGAAAATGTTTGCAATTACATACAAGAGGTCTGTTTTTTATTTCTGTACTAGAACTTTCTTTCTCGCTTCTTTCATTATATCAATTCATATATCTATTTTATTTTAAATTCTATCAGTGTACTAGTTTAGTTACAGAAGAGAGAAAACAGATCGAATATAACAGAGGTGTCAAAGGTGTCTTATCTAATTCTATACATGACTTTATTATTTGTATTCTTAGAATTATTTGTATTATATTTATATATTTTTAATATTTTGTTCTCATTTCTGTATATTGTTATCTGATACAAAAAAAAAGAAAACAATTGAAATGATTAACGATGTCAAATGGCACCATCGATCATTTTAGTGTTAACTTGCTATTCGAAGACAGCGTTCAGAGTTGGTGTACGTGACAAGAAGGTGTATACCTTCAACATTTATCTTAAATTCTGATATCTTCCTATCACAATCACGATATATTCCTATTATAATATTTTTTTCACGTGTTTTTATTCACTTTGATATGCAGCACAAACAATTTTTTATTCAAACTGCATATCCATTAACATGCATACATATAAAACTCATGAATTATGTACTACAACTGTGATAATCTTGAAATGAAGATTTTTCGATGTCCAATATCTCTGTGCTTTCGCGATTTGTTTCAAACTATCGTCGATATAGACGTGTCGTGTGTCTTATGCTAAGGATGGAATAAATAACTGCAGTACAAGTTGTTTGTATCCTGT